GAAATGTTTATGTTATAGTCCCATAAAAAGATTTACAGCAAAAGAACTTTTATTTACTGTTCAGTGAGCATTTGTTTGTATTTTGTGTTTTATTATTATTCATGTTAGATTGATGCCAACCCATAATTCCAACTGGAAAAAATCAAAAAAGTCAAATGATGCTCAAATCAAAGCAGTGCTATTATTTTAAAGTTATTCAACACGTAGATTTTCTCTTGAGATTTTCAAGATACTTATAATTTCATTTGTTTAAATTAAACTTAAGAAAACTTTTTGTTAATTTTGTTTCTTTCAAATATATTGCTTTATATTACGCATTATTTCTAAATAAAGCGAGACAGCCTGGTCGGTATTTCTGGGTAAATGTATGTTTGTAATAAGTAAGTAAGTAACAATTTGACCAGTGCCAGAAAGTCACCAGAGCATCCGAATCGATCATGTTGTGCACATTGGTTGTGGTCAATTTACACCATAGTTATGGGTACCATTTACTTCTGGGTTGTAGAACCTAAAATCAGGTTTTCCACTGTCACCTTCGGCATTCCTTTAAGTATTTATTATTTCTTCACGGCGTGGACAATATCTTTTAAAGGACTGGCTTCACAAATATGTTTTCTACGTACACCCAAAGTTCTGAGTATCCGCATCAGGTGTCTCACGCTTAATTGTATACCTTGGTGAAGTAAAAGCGTTGTTGAAATTTCTTGATAGGAAAAGTTCTTTGTAAAATATACACCAATGAGCTCCTCTCTGGAAAGACTTTCTAGTTGTACAGGGTTATTACTTGGCAAGGTCTTCAAGAGAACGTAAAGTTATACCTAGAGAAAAAGGATACAAAGACATCAAATAATATTGTACACGATTCTAATAATGATATGATAAGCATAATCACAGCATGATAGCTTTAAGTGAGAAATTAGACCCTCTATTGGTCGTTTGCCAGCAGCCCAACAAATCCGAGAAGAGTAAGCATGGTCTGTTTCGCACGCGACACCCGCCACTACTATAAAGGTCAAAATCATGAGGTGCAACGAGATCAGTTCATGCCTGACTAAACAAATCTGCAAAAATGCAAGTAGCAGATTTGTCATTTGACAAGAAGTTCTCCGTAACGACCATAAAATTTTCTACAAGAAATTTCAAGTTTTTGTGTCAAGTAAACCTGTTTCAGTAATTTCACGGTTAATATTCAACCTCTTGCCAGAAAGTCCTTATAAAGAGAACAAGCTCTAGCATAGCGGACCAGTTGTGAAACTCTGTTATCCTCTGTTGAATCATACCTTAATTTGAACGTGTCTAAGGACTCTTAGATATAAATTAAACCAAATTTTATTGAGATCAGATGACAACTGTGACTTCTATCAATTAATATAATATCCATGTATCAAGGGTTGAAACTCCTCATCTTTTGTCAAAAAATTGAACTGTTAATTGTGCCGACAATATATGTTCCAATTAGAAAGTGGGCTTTATATAAAAAAGAACTCAAAACATTGGATATGATCACAAAAGCGTAGGCTTACTTACCAGCTCGCTGGCGGAAAAACTTGGAAATCGGAAGTCGGAAGTGAAAAAAAAAACTTGAAAGTCGGAAGTTGGAAGTCCTGACCCGCCTTTCGTAATATTCAGTTTAATATGACAGAGATCAGTTTCTTTCACTTACTTATTTTATTTTATGCATGATTTCAATCTGTTACAAATGAAAGAAAATGAGAAGAAAAGAGGAGAAATCTAATGTGCACTTCTGATGTTTAATGTAGAGGTTTTTAGTAAAAAGGACCTCAAATGTTATCAAAATATCAGAAAATGTACAATTTTGTTTGCAAATACCGGTATATTGTTGAGTGCAGACTGTGTGACTACTTCATATCCTTTCATATTACCTATCTATGTTATCACTTTAGAGTTTCTCTTTAAACATTTCTGTTCTGATTCATTTATACCTTTGTTGCAAAATTAGTCATAGTAATTTGCCTGTATATTAGCTTAGTTTTTTTAAGTTAATAAATATATTCAAGGTTTCTTAGAATGGAAACAGTTCAGTTGCCGATATCATCTATTAAAAAATTTTGCTTTTTAATAAACACTGCCTAGGTCCACTGGGTCATTAATCTTGTGGCAATCTGTATTTATAATTCATTTACTTCACTTAAAATTAGACATTAGACCTAGCACCATGTTGGTAAAAAAAGCTTATCAATAAGAATCTGTTACTTTTGAAAACTATCAAACTTAAAAAACATTGTCCTACTTAAAGATAGTAAATACCCTTAGTCTACAAGTGAGAAAAAGTTAATGAAAACTGTTTTTTAATGGAAAATTTATAACTACAGTTATTCTTCTGCAGCTGCACTGATAAATGTAGGTAAAAAAAACAGTCATCTTTCAGAAAATAATGAAAGGTGTTTAATCTGTGCAGTCAGTTACGTGCTAACAATTCATAGCTTTTGTGAGATTAATTAAGAAAGTTAATGAGAGCTGATTGCCTAAATGATAAGTTGAAGTTGAAGTTGAATAAGTGATGTTCTATTGAATCAGTAATTTCAAATTCAAGTAGACATGTATAAATGAATTATTTTAGAATTTTCTGTAGGTTTCTAGTCTTGTATGACCTGATGAGATTCTCCTTTAAAATATGTCATGTGAAAGTTAGATTGCAATGTTAAAAATGAATATCCCAAAATCCTTACTTACGGTATGGAAATCTTTCATTGGTTGAATAGTTAATGACCCAAAACCAGAAATGCATGACTTTCTTGTCAGATTATGGATAGCATGTAGAGTCAACCTCATAACAAAATTGATACAAAATATCTGAGATTTTTTGATACTTTTGACCATTATGAATAGGAATTGATCAGCTATAAGCTTTACCCTAAAATAGGTCAAATGATTGAAGGTTAGAACTTTTACACATTTTTCTGTAGGATATGAATATAAGTATTATTTATATAAAGTAAATATATTTGATATTTAGAATGTATTGAGTGTTTGTATGTCAATGTGACAATAGACAGACAAAGACTATCCAATTACACTTTATTTACCTTCTTAAACTTGGTTTCCTTTCATAGTATTAAAAGGACATTCTGCTTTTTTGTAAACAAATTTTCATTGTCAAAAGTGCATAAATTATACCTATAAAATATTTCTAAAGTATGGCTCAATATTAGCTTCCAAAACGTATAACAAACTTTAAAAACCTTATGATTTTAAATATTTTTGGCGTTTAAAAATTAATGGCTGGATTTTTTTAGTTAAAACTTTCAGATATGTTAAAGGGCACATAGTTTAAGCGGAATGTCCCTTTTAGGCCAATATGAATAAATAATATTATATTATACTAATTCAGGTCTGAATTGATCTGGTTGTATCTCATGATTTTTACCATTTTGATAGTGGCGGGTGTCGCTTTTGCAAAGTAGCCCATGCTTACTCTTTCAAAACACCTGATGGTACTTCTCTTTGGAGGAGTCCACTACCACACACAACCTTTACTCTCGATTTTGATTTTGATTAACTGAATTGTTTTGCTTGTACAGATTTTTTCATACTCTAATAAAATAAAGCCTTAAATTCTCACAATTGTAATGTACGAAAAGACTTCTATTAAAAAAGGCTCTTAAAAAATCATCTTTCCTCATTGTTCCATATGACCCAAATGAAGTCTAGGAAAGATTATTGACGAAGTTAGAAAATAAAAAAAACTAGAGCCACACGTGGCAGAGTGGGACTTTGCAAATGTAGCAAATTGCAAACGACCCTGAAAAAATCAACCTTCTACGATAATTACATCACGTGCAAGAACAGTCTAAAGTTGAGAAGTTTTGATTCTTTGGAAGATTGTTATACCGGAATAGACAGACCTCACAAATGAAAGTATCAGAAGATAGCCAAGGTCAATGACATTTGACATTGAAATAATAATCATAATAAATGTCATGACCATATCAGTGCTCATTAACCTGTTGCACTTCTTAGATATATGTACATGGCATAAAGAATATCTTACTAGGAATAGATTGGGTTTTCTATTTATTTTATTAAACCATTGATCTAAGAGTTGTTCAAGGTGCTTAGTAAAGGATTTTCTAACTAAATGGTTTATTGTTTGCAAATCTAGAATAGTGAATAATATATAAGTTAAACCAGGAAATTTTCCCACTGTATGTAATAATGGTTTTGAATAATAAGTGTTCGTGAACAGACAATTCTCTGTGTACTTTGACTGGTTTACTTCTTGCATATCTTCTTTCTTTCTCTGTCATTTGTGAATGATAAGATTTACCTCTTAAATTGATGTGTTTTTTTAAAGGATGTCATAGTTATTTCAAGTTGTATTCTCTTGTTCAATATATCATTATATTACAGGGATTTATCAATATATTACAGGGATATATCAATATATTACAGAGATATATCAATATATTACGGAGATATGTCAATATATTACAGAGATATATTGATTATGTCAATATATTACGGTGATATATCAATATATTACGGTGATATGTCAATATATTACGGAGATATATCAATCTATTACGGAGATATATCAATATAGTATGGAGATATATCAATATATTACAGAGATATATCAATATATTATGGAGATATATCAATATATTACAGAGATATATCAATATATTACGGAGATATATCAATATATTACAGAGATATATCAATATAGTGTGGAAATATATCAATATATTACAGAGAAATATCAATATATTACAGCTATATATCAATATATTACAGAGATATATCAATATATTACAGAGATATGTCAATACAGAGATATATCAATATATTACAGAGATATATCAATATATTACTGAGATATAAGTGCTGAAGTATTTTCAGATATATATTTATATATTTTAAACAAAATATTTATGTTAAAGGATTGAGATATGACAAATTATAAAATTATGTTCAGATATTCAGCTATTCAGATATTTTATTTTTCAGGAGAGTTTAAGATGTTATAAGGATGTGAAATGTCAGTTCGAAGTGCTACCAGTGAACTAAGTAACACCAGTTCACAGTCTTATTTCACCACTAGTTCAGAACACTCACATCATTTGCCATATCAGAAGAAACACAATGGTGAAGCTTGGTGGAGTGTTGGTGATATCATTAAACCTGGATTAACTCATCAAAATGCTGCACTCACCATGGCGACTAATGGTGATTCAGAAACTTGGGATTTATCAGATTCATTAGCTGATCTGTATACAAATCAAAATCAGGTCATTTCTTCCAAGTTTCGTGCCCACGGTAAATTTGAAGATCGGAATATTGATATAACTAAATGGTTGGATACAGATCCCAGTTATGGATGTATCCGAGTGTATCATTCGGAACAAGAGTCGTCCTCTCGATTGTTTCCGTGTACTTTAACTACGCCTGCTCAAAAAATATGTCTCCATTTTGGAATACCTAGTAATTCCCTACACATACAACAGAATGGGGATATAATAAGACGGTTGGAACCATTTGATTGTCCTCTGGCTATACAGAATGACTATCTGACTGGTATAGGATACACAGATCACAGATGTAGACAGGAAATAGGTGCTGATGATCTCACTTCATATCTCATCAAATTTTATGCAGGTAACATTTTAATAAATTCATTTTTACGACAAATTTTGACCAACCATCATTAGATCATCAGAAATAATAAGATTATGGTTTAAAATCTGTTGTTTAAAAAAGGTTGTTCTCATGACAATAAACAAGTGGAATGTACAATCTGTATTATTTATTTATTTTTAAACCTGCAAATTGAAAGTGAAAGGTACCATATAGAATTTTGTCAAACTTCTAATGAAAACAAGATTTTTTTATTAACTTAACTTTCAGTTCTTTGGGTTTCGCTAGTGAAGCAAATCGTGCTCACTCTTTTAAAACACATGATGCCTCTCTGTAACTGAGTATGTCAAATCGGCACCTCTTTTAGGGCCATATAGATAATATTGTTCCTATGACATATTTATAAACAATAAATTATAATTATACACTTGATATTTTGCTCTATTAATATTTTATGTTTAAATATAATGTAAGTTAATGTTAATAAAAATTCACATATAAAATGAGTAATATATTTTGACTGAGTAATTTTTGTTAATAGAGATATCATTGACATTTTAAAACCTACATACATCACATATTCTTAATATTAATCATAATCTTCGCTTCATTGATTTAGACTTGTTACTTCCATCTTGACCACATGTATTTAGGTCATGTCCATTGACCTGATACGAATTAGGATTGTGTTTGACCATCCAATAATATGACATGTATAGAAGGATCAGTCAATAAGTTGGTTTCGAACATGTTCTATCATTGTTCATATGAGAATTTGTATGAATTGAACAAATTATTAAAAAATCCTAGAAATACTTCCCACATCTTCTAAAGTTAAACTTTTAATCAATTCATAGTGATCCATCATGATTTCATTACAAGCTTAAATTCAGACCTTCCTAGTCAGTATTCATATTTTATTCATATTTTGCATATTTAGCTTTAAGATGCATCATAATTGCTGAACACCAAATTTTCTATCTGTAGAAAATCCTATTGTAATGTGTAAATTAATATTAGTATATTGAACTATAAGGTGATAATTCAGTTCATGAACTATAAAACACATCAACAATTTTTCTACAGAACTGTTAAGTATGAAAGGCTTTTGAAGTTTATGATTTCCTTTATGAAATTTAGTCTTTGGTGGTTTTACTCTGAAAAAAATATTTTTGCATGAAAATTATCATCTTTCAAATGAAAAAAAGGTCATGGGATATTTTTTTTTCGTGTTATCCAACATTCAATATTATCTTCTATAAATCTAGATGTCGAATCTTCAATGGATTTTGGTTTAATTGAAACAAGTTCCGGCTTCAAATATAGGTGAATTAATGTGTCGAAAAATATGCCTCAATATGTATATTGTATCCATATTTGTAAATCAATACTTGGCAATCCAAGACATTTAATAATCAGCACAAACTTGGGTCCTAATTGCATTTAAAATATTGAAATTATTTTATTTTCAAGTGAGTATAGATATATATAATGGGAATACCTATGAAATATCTATAGATTATAATATATAATGATTATAGTAATGATATACAAGTTCATGGCTATGTATAATAATCATGCTAAAGACACCATATACCGAGATTACCCCTAAATACTGCCTATTGACTTTCTAATGACTTCTGGTCAATATGTACCTACCACCAATTTATCCTTAATCTATCTCACTTATTTACACCTGAAAATATTCAGTTCTGCTTGGTAATTCTCCTTTCTTCAGATCAATTAATATCTATAAGTCTAATGTATGAGAGTTGTTCGATAGATAATGGGTTTTGCTTCAGCAAATAAAGAATTTATTTATTTATTGATTTTTCTCTATTTTATTTCTCATAAACATCCTGAATAATATTTTTGGAATGTGGATTGTTTACGTAAATGAAAATTATGTTTTGAGAGCAAGTATGTTCATTTGCAATTTGAGTGAAAGGAAACTACTGATAAGCTAAAAAATCTTTTTTCTGTCTCCATGTGAATACTACATATGAATCCCCATGACAACTTTTCATCATGTATACAAGTTCATATAGCTTTAACAATCTAGTTGCTGAATTTATATTATGAGGATCCTCTCTTGAAAAGTATTCTTAGTTGTTAGTTTCAAATAGATGATGTGGTCCTACTAACCTTCCATTGGGACACACTCAGAAAAGCATTACCTGGAGCTGTTGAAATTTCTTATGATTTTAATAAAACCTATAATAAGATACATCACTGTCTGGAGGAACATGTAGATTATCAGGATAGCTTATAGATTGCAAGCAGTATCAGCTAACCTTTATAATAATAATAATAGTTCACTTATATGGTGCAAATTACTTTTCAGTTCTTATTGTGCCCTCAATCAATAAATTTCCGCGAATGAAGTAATACTCAAGAATCATTAAACAAGAAAGTTTTTAGGTTTTTCTTGAAGATGTCAGTAGATTTTGATGGTAAATTGTTCCATAAAACAGGTCCAGAGTACGTGAAAGCCTGTTTGGTGATTTTGAGGTTAACTGATGGCACGCTTAATAAACACTGACTTGAAGATCTTAACGTTCAGTTGTTGAATATATGTTAGAGAATTTTTGTTTATGGCTTTGTAAGTTTGTAAAAGTATTATGAATTCAATTCGTTCTTTGACTGTTAACCAATGGAGAGAATTCAAGATTGAGGAAATATGTTCAAATTTCCTGATGTTTGTTAAAAATCGATATGTTGTAATTTTTCTATTTGGTATTCTGGAGGTCGGTGAAAGAGGGCATTGTGATAGTCCAATTTGGTTGTGATGAAGGCATGGATTATATTTTTTTTGACGGTTGAAGTAAGATATCTTCCAATCTTTGATATTTGTTTTAAAAGGTAGAAAGCAGTAGGAGAACAGGTGGAGATTATAAGGTATAAATAACTAACTTTCAAATCATCTATTTTGTTGGTTTGAAGGTATTTCGCTATGCTTCAACAAATATATAATTTATTGATGTGAATCAAAATCTAAATTTAATTCATACATGTAAAAATGTTTGTTAAAAACATTGAATAATGCAGTATAAAATGATGAATGAATCAGTGAAAGTGTGGAATGTTGACTCAAGGTTTTATGAACAAACAAAGATACAAATGAATATATAGGATATTACTTTCTTTGGTGCACAAATTTTACAGGGCGTTGACATGTTTATTTACCACAAAATTAATTTCTTTGGTTGAAAGATACAATGTAGCCTAATCTTATTTTTGAAATGTTGGAAAAGACCTTGAATGAATTTGATCCTTGATTCTTTTCTCACTCCTCTAACTTTTCAACATACAGATACCCCTTTTACACTCTCACACATAGTTAGGGAAGTGAACACTTAGATTTTTATTAACATCCAGAACGAGCGCAAACAAACAAAGGTAACAGCGTGTCACTGCAGTGAAATTGCCAATAGCCTCCGTCTCCAGTCCTAGTAACTCAAAATCAATCATATTTACATCATAAAAATCAGAATTGATGTATAATGATACTTTCAGATGAAGTTTAACCATCACACATTTCTTAGATAGGGCAGTTTTAAGCAAATATTCACGCTCTTGAACGTGTGTTCAGTGACGTCACCTAGGCTATTCATTCATATGATATCGCCATCTTATCAATGACGTAATTTGTGTTATGAACCTTGCATGTCTTAAAAACAAGGCGTGAATAAAGTTTATAGTACCCCAAGATAATAAGGTGTTTTGAAATTTTACTTTTCTACAATTGAATAGAATATTATTCATCCAAATATGACAATGTATGTATCTCGAGAAACAATGAAACCATTAATTTTGCATCCTGTATATTGTGACTGAATGATAAGATTTTTAAGAAAACTTTTGATAAACCCTAAAAAAAGGAAAGAAGGACATCACATAAATTTTTTTTTGAAATATTTGAGATAAATCATTTAATGAAATTATCTTGAGTATTACAATTTTTTTTTTTTCAGGCAAACCTTTATCTGATGGAACATATTCCAGAAGTCAATTATCATCCTATGTATATGTTCGTAAAGGCAAGTTATTACATCAATGGGTAAGAAGAAGGTGTGTTATATCAGGAACACGTTTGCTGATCCATAGAGGTAAATATTTTACTAATATTCCTAATTCCTAATACCGAATTGATTCATTGAAATAAAATACAGTTTTTCTTCATATTTTCTGCTCCTATGTGGATAATGAAGATGGGTAATTGTAGGCTATGCAATACTGCTCATTTTGGATTTTCAGTCTTTATATGCTTAGCCCACATTGTTCATGCCAACCAATTTGATCTACATCACTACATCAGGTTAGCATGTAAACGTCTAGCTCACTGAGTCATCATGACTCCCATATTATTTGTTTTAAAACATAAATTATGTGGACACCATATTTCTGTTTCATATAAGACTAAAAGCCTTTTTATTAGGTAGAGACATTTTAAGCTTACACCAGATGAATTTGAAAAAGCAGTGGCCATATCACCTTGAAGTGAATTTACAGCACCTAATAGTCTATAACTTCCCTACAACATTTGTTTCAGATAAAACATCTAAGCCTACAGTAGTACAGTTAGCTAAGGGTTCATTAGAAGAAATACAGATTAAAGGACAATCTAATTGTTTAAGAATTACATCTCATGAACAGGGTGGTCGTTCTATTTATTTATCCTTTGTTGATGATTCTGATTATATGAAATGGTTGAAAAAACTGAAAAAGGTGAGAAATGATAAGAAATTGAACAAATAAATTGATTATCAGAAGTTTTCAGCATGGATACACCAGTTCATATATCAATCTAATTTCCATAAGCATGAATTTTGAAAAAAAAAATTCGATTCTGAAGAATTTGTTTCAGAAGTTTCACCTGAAATCATAACATATTATCTCTTTTTTTAATTTAATATTTTATTACAGGCAACATCCAAATTGCCAACCAAAGCAGATTTATCCAACTGTCATTTAGAGTTTTTACCAGAAACAGTTTTTATTAATGAAGATTTGAAAGTGTTAATATTACGTCATAATGCCCTGCGTGACAGACCTATAGAGGAGGATATATATACTATTGGATGGTTAGATGATCTGCCAAGGTATTTCTTACTCCTTAAGACCCATTACTCCTTCAGACCGACTACTCCATTTAAAACAGAACTGTAACCCCTTTTTTCATTCAAAATAGAAGTGTAACCTCCTAAATTCATTTAAAATAGAACTGTAACCTCCTTCTTCATTTAAATAGATCTGTAACCTACTCCATTTAGAATAGAACTGTAACCCCCATCTTCATTCAAAATAGAACTGTAACCTCCTAAATTCATTTAAAATAGAAATGTAACCCCCTTCTTCATTTAAAATAAAACTGTAACCTCCTACTCCATTTAAAATAGAACTGTAACCCCCATCTTCATTTGAAATGGAACTGTTACCCCTTACTCCATTCAAAATAAAACTGTAACCTCCTTCTTCATTTTAAATGTAACTGTAACCCCCTTCTTCATTCAAAATAGAACTGTAACCCCCTTCTTCATTGCAAATAGAACTGTAATCCCCTTCTTCATTTCAAATAGAACTGTAACCTCCTTCTTCATTTAGAATAGAACTGTAACCTCCTTCTTCATTTTAAATAGATCTGTAACCTCCTTCTTCATTTCAAATAGAACTGTAACCTCCTAAATTCATTTAAAATAGAACTGTAACCTCCCACTCCATTTAGAATAGAACTGCGACCTCCTACTCCATTCAAAATAGAACTGTAACACCTTCTGCATTTAAGATAGAACTGTAACCCCCTTCTTCATTTAAAATAGAACTGTAATCCCCTTCTTCATTTAAAATAGAACTGTAATCCCCTTCTTCGTTAAAAATAGATTGGTAACCCCTTACTCCATTCAAAATATAACTTTGACCTCCTATTCCATTCATATTAGAACTGTGAACACAAATTGCCAAATTGTAATATTTTCTGCTCTCACAGTTTTTTATTTACAACAAGTAGAAAGTGTGTTCCTATATCTGGTGATGAGTAACTGGTGTATTATGTTCTTTAAGAAATTTAAATTATCTACAGTAGGTCTATATCTGTTAAGGATGTGAGTGTTGATTGGGCAGATTGTGGGAAGAACAGAGTCTGATAATAAATATTTTTGCCTTTAAGGTATTTGAAGACACATAACTCATATCCCCCAGGAAATGGCATAAGATTATGTTTCTGCTTGTAAGAATTATAATTTGTTATTTCAGATTTAGCCACCTTCAAAGTTTGAATTTATCAGATAATAATTTGATGGTGTTTCCTCTACCAGTATGTAGAATGAGATCATTGATAGAATTAAACTTAGCCAGTAATAAGTTAGAGGAAATCCCATCAACAATCGGTGATCTTGTCAAGTAAGCTTTATCTATAGCAATATCTCTAGAATCAAAAGTATAACTGTTAACAAAGCAAAATTTCATACCACAAAGGGAAGTATTCCTATTGACACTATTGCTTGTCTTGCATTGTTAATTGAATCAATAAAGAAGTATTCCTACAACCCATTTCTCAAGTTTTCAAGTTTGTGACGTGTGAAATTGTATATAGAACCATATCACATTTATTACTAAAATGAGTCTTTAGGTTTTTAAGAAACAAGAACTATATCATTAAGTTTCATATTAGATTATAGTCATTTGAATCAAATATATAATAGATGTATGAGGAGATATGTATTGCCTAAATTATAGCATAATGTGTATTATTATTCAAATCACTATAAAAATTGTCCATAGCATGAATCAAGATATTGAAATCAAATTCATATCAATTAAATTTTTACTTTCAGTTTAAAGTTACTACATCTACATAATAACAGACTACAATACTTACCAGAAGTTATAATGGAGATGAGAAATTTAAATGTTGTTGTTTTAGCTTTTAATCGTTTTACAACCATACCTAGTGTTCTTCTACAATCTAAACTAGCTGTATATAAACTAGATAGTCTTATCATGGCAGGAAACTTAGTGGAAAGTTTGCCTATAGATTTACTAAGTGAAATGTCCCATGTGAAAAAAATTGATCTCAGAATGAATAAATTAAAAGTTTCTACTGTAGACATGACTAAATTTTATTTATTGCAACATATTACTCATCTAGATATTCGAGATAATTTAATTGAGGAATTAGATATTCGTGCAATACGTGCCCTGGAATACTTAAATTGTGAACGGAATAAACTTACTTCATTACAACTCAATGGAAGTGCTCTGAAAAACCTGTATGCTTCTCATAATAGTAAGTATTTCAAGTAAATGTATACATAATCAATTTTTTGTACAAACTTGATTGATTTAAAGTCCAAGTTCTAAAAATATAATTGAGCTCTAAAATGAAATGATAACTTCACTAGAAAGCAGGGCATTTTCACTGATGTCTATAGATTTTTTTAGGTTTATGAAGCTTGCTTACTCTTTTGCAACTCTTAGATGCATACAGATAATGAAACACACCTTTTTACCTCTCCATAATATTGTTACCATACTTATTTCTAATTTTAATTTGTATTTTCATCATTCCTTATTTAAGTGGTCAATATATTATGTTAATTTTCCAGATATTAAGATTTTTACCATCAGCCCAAAAGCTGAATATGTTACCAGTATAGATGTTTCTTTGTAAGTATAAGTTAAATGTTTCATGTTTGCCACATTGTACATGTATTCACTGTTAATAAACATATTCAAGTGATTATAAACAGTATGTCAATGCTAGTAATTATTATTGTAAGTGTGTGATGCAACTGCGATCTGTTGTTCTTAATGATGAATAAGTTTTATGTTTTACAATTTAAGCAATGAAATATGTGAGCTTCCCTCATGGATTGGTGATTGTTTTTTCTTGGTGAAAATTGATGCCAGTCATAATCATCTGAACAAACTTCCTGAGAAGTAAGTAGTCCTGTAAATCGAGCACTTTTTACAGATTTAAGTTTTTGAAACTAAATATTTCTTTCACTTATATCAAACTTTGGTTTTATTTAATTATGAATATAAATTCAATTTTGATATGGACAGAGAACACTTACTCTTTCTGCAAACCCCTGAATCTGTTATAAGACAACTGTTAAATGACATTGTTTTTTTTTCTCTTGGGATGTTCTTATCCTGTTAAGGTTTTTATTTATTATTGAATATTTTTTAGATTATTAGACGGAGCCCAGAAGTTAAAAGTATTAAAAGTCAATCATAATTTATTAACAGCCCTACCTGGTGAAATCAAAAACTGTATCATAGAAGAATTACATTTACAACATAATTTATTATCAATTTTACCACCAGAAATATTTATTAACTCTCACAAGTAAGTATTATGATATTTTTTATCAATATTACCACCAGAAATATTCATTAACTCTCACAAGTAAGTATTATGATATTTATTATCAATATTACCACCAGAAATATTCATTAACTCTCACAAGTAAGTATTATGATATTTATTATCAATTTTACCACCAGAAATATTTATTAACTCTCACAAGTAAGTATTATGATATTTATTATCAGTATTACTACCAGAAATAATTCATTAACTCTCACAAGTAAGCATTATGATATTTATTATCAATATTACCACCAGAAATATTTATTAACTCTCACAAGTAAGCATTATGATATTTATTATCAGTATTACTACCAGAAATAATTCATTAACTCTCACAAGTACGCATTATGATATTTATTATCAATATGACCACCAGAAATATTCATTAACTCTCACAAGTAAGTTTTATGATATTTATTATCAATATTACTACCAGAAATATTCATTAACTCTCACAAGTAAGTTTTATGATATTTATTACAAGTATTACTACCAGAAATATTTATTAACTCTCACAAGTAAATATTATGATATTTATAATCAATATTACCACCAGAAATATTTATTAACTCTCACAAGTAATTTTTATGATATTTATTATCAATAGTACCACCAGGAATATTTATTAACTCTCATAAGTAAGTATTATGATATTTATTATCAATAGTACTACCATAAATATTTTTCAACTCTTACAAATAAGCATTATGATATTTATTATCAGTTTTACTACCAGAAATATTTATTAACTCTCACAAGTAAGTTTTATGATATTTATTATCAATATTACCACCAGAAATATTTATCAACTCTCACAAGTAAGTATTATGATATTTATTATCAATCGTACCACCAGAAATATTCATTAACTCTCACAAGTAAGTATTATGATATTTATCATCAATATTACCACCAGAAATATTCATTAACTCTCACAAGTAAGTATTATGATATTTATTATCAATATTACTACCAGAAATATTCATTAACTCTCACAAGTAAGTATTGTGATATTTATTATCAATATTACCACCAGAAATATTCATTAACTCTCACAAGTAAGTATTATGATATTTATTATCAATATTACCACCAAAACTTAAGCATTAAATTAAGTTTTGACAGCTTATTATAATATTGCTTCATGTGACTGAATATGAAGGATTTCATACTAAGTTGATATCTTCCTTGAGTCGTTATATTTAGTAGGGACGGTCGCTACACATTCTCCATCCATTCAACCAAGGTATCTAAGTAAAATAGTAGTTAGTAATAGTGTTCACCGGTGATTTTGAGCCTTCAAATCCATGTGTGTCCAGAACTATCCATGTAAGGAAGTTAAAATGTGACTTGTCTCTTTTTGATAACTACATCACAAGCTTCAAGCTGCAACAATATTCAATATTCAATTTTTTCCAACAGATTACGATATTTGAATGTGACCAAGAATAATTTGGTGGATTTACCAGCACCTAATAGAAATGAATCATTGAATAAATTACAAGAACTCTATCTCACTGCTAATCAAGTAGGAAATCAAGCTGCACATAAAGTCTGTTTCTTCAGAAGATTAAGGATACTACATCTGGCCAACAATAAACTGACACAAATTAAAAATGAGTAAGTATATACAAGGATAGTTTTACACAGTCATACCAGATTCAAAATGTAACACTATTTTAGTCTTTAGTGCACAATACATGAAACTTTTTGCATGTTTTGGTTCATGATAGTGACTGACAATCTGTCCTTATGCAAATAAGTGTTAAGCAGGAAAATGTTCTGTAAATGTTCAGGACATGATATATGATTGATATCTGTGCTGTTGCAGGATCCACAAACATCAGACCAGAAATTGAACTGGTGCAGATAGTAGTAATAATTGTCATGAAAGACCAGAAAAATTCTTTTTAATCTCTTTGCTGATAATTATATGATTTAAATACCGTGAATCTTCACTCATAAGCAGACAGATTTTATTGGATGCCATTCTTTAGTGACACACATTTATCTTTTCAGTGATATACAGAAGCTCGAACAACTTCAAGAATTAAATATTTCATCAAATAATCTTCATGAATTACCAGAATTTCTTGGTCGTCATCCTAAATTACAAGTTTTAAGAGTCAATTCAAATTTACTTCAAGAAATACCAAACTTTAAAAACTCTTCAATGTTGAAGGTAAGTAAGATCTACTACAATAGATTTGAGTCCAATTTGAGTTGAAATAGTAGACTAGGTGGTATATGAGAGCACGGAGCCATTATATAACATTGAGTTTGACCAATGAAAAACCTATTATAAGTAAGAGAAGAATATTTTACAGAATCGCCATTTTCATACACTGAATCAAGATTACCATGTCTTATCACTATTCATAAATAAAGAGTATAAACAACCCCATGGAGTACACTATCTCTTTATGGCAGTGGATAGTCGTTTGTTAGGCACCATTGGTTCAAATCTTCTTCAGGGTAAGAAAAATGCTTATATTATTGCCAGTCCTTCTGGAAGTTAGTCTGGTTCACCCCCACCCAAAATTGTTCCCTACAGGTTTTAGAAGTTGGATCTAACAGACTAGTTAATGTTAACATGAAGAATTTGATGAATTCACAAGTTAATTTATTAGATATTTCTGGTAATCCTGATATTACTGTTAAATCACAGGAAATTAATCATGCTAAGTAAGATTTTTTATTCTTATTTCACACAGATGAATAATAATCTGTTCATAACTTGCAGTGGATTATTTAAATCTTTTCAACTCTTCTATTCTTGAAGGTAATGCACATTTAGTATAATCACAGGCCCTTGAAGATCTGTTAATACTGATATAAGACTTTCTTTCATACGATTTCTCAATTGTTAAGACCAAATATGAATTCAGTACTGTTCTTCTTTAAGTGGAGATTGTTTAGTTCTGATTGATATAATGGATTATTCTGTTTTCACTGGATTAGCTAGAATTTGTTGTAATGATATTTCAGAGCTAAGAAGATATGTATGGTAGATATGAGAGGACAGAATAGATCATTATTAGATATCTCAACAATAGAAACACCAAAAGACAAAAAATTATGGCAAAGTGGATTTTCTCAAACTTCTGGAATTAGGAATAAGTAAGTAGCCTTCCACATCAATCGAAATAACATGATAATGCAACTCTTACAAAGCATTCAAACAAATAAGGGTTTCAGTGCCTTTGTCAAGTAATAACTATTAGTTGTAGTCTGTAGTGTATTTTAGATTTGCCCTCCCCTGACACACAAAAGGAATTAATTTCAAGACAACTGTTAAATTTTTCAGATTATCGGTAGCAGTCATAAATAAACCTCAGTTCATGGGTGAAACTGATTCATTGTTTTGTGTATTTGATGGTGGAAGAAATGAGGAAGTTGCTAAAAATTTATCAGAGATAATTCCTGAAATTATTCAGAAGGAAATAAATGTGAAAGGAAAACATGGAAATTATTTAAAATATTCCATGCTGTCTGGCCATAGGTAATAACTTTTGATCTAATAAGCTCTCAATTTTTTATGATTTTAGCTCTTTATACTGCTTCTTCTAAGATCTTCTTTACGTAATGCCTGGTATTTCTTATGGCTCTTTTTTACCAAAACTGTTTGCGTATTTGTTGACATTGGAGCCTTTTTTTCTTCAACCATCTAATTTCATGTTTTCTGTATACCATGTCAATTTTGAAGACTTTTGAACTTGCATATTGAAATATATCTGTGTGCGACCATCTATTAAGACATTTTATAATTTCAGGGGATTAAGGACACTAGGACAGAGATTAGGTGCAGCAGGAGGTGTTATACATATAGAATATTACACCAACTCTCCACCAATACTATATCTAGCTAATGTTGGTGATACAGAGATAGTACTGTGTAGAAAGAATAAAGCTGTTTGTTTATCTCAACTATTTACTGTATCAACTAATCCTAGTGAATGTCAGAGAATCTGTCAATCTGATGGTATTATTACCGAGGTAGAGTTTTATATTTAACTCTGATACCCATTTCACAAATACAGATCATATTCTGAAAGCACTGATTCAAACTAATTTTACGCCCACACGAGTATGTGAATTTTCAATGGATTTTGATGAAACTTGGTGTGAGCATTGGAATTTATAAGACGGCAGTGAATTTTGAATTTGACGATTTTTCTATGAACGTTTTTTGAGTAATTGCCCTTGACTTAGTAAAAATAAATTTTTCATTGACTTTGACTTGTTAACACGATGAGGGCTTCAGCTTTTATCGGATCTTGATGAAACTTGGTATGCAGGTATATATTAATGAGATCTCAGTAAAGTTCAAATTTGTCTATGTTAGTTAGTAAGTGTGAATTTGATGATACATTATTATATATCTTGGAAAATTTCAGACACCAGAGGAGTGTGATAATTCAATGCTTCTGGGTAATGCTATTGATTTAAAAAGATTTGTGGAAAAACTCAGCATAACTGACCATAAATTGATATTCAGGGTTTTTCAACTACAAAGATCTTCAATATGAGAAATTTGGCATTATTATGAAGATCTTTAATATACTATTGGTCAATAAAGATTTAGTTATCATCTCGGACAGCTGCCAGTGGGCGTATGTTACCTTGCAGCTGCCAGTGGGCGTATGTTACCTTGCCTGGCAAGCTATCTGCAAAATTAGTAATTGGCCATTTGCAAGGCACATACCTTAACCTTCAGTAAAGTAGCTCTGAGTTGGTACAGAATGAAATTGCTTATACAAAAGGCTTTGTAACTAGGCATGTGATTTATTTTTTTTTAGATAGTTAGAACCGAATAAAGAAAATTGATCTCTCTTTCTTTCACATTATTGTACCTGGTCTTCAAAATATTCTAAAGTAAAATATGTTATTGGTCACCGGTCACAATTTTTGATTCTATAAAACTGGTACATCTGTCCCTATATATTCTTGGCACTTAGTGGACAATAAGAAAGCTATTCAGTTAATTCACATTAAATAAGATCTACATGTCTGATTGCATGTGTCATTTGGTATTTCACTTCAATATATGAGATTATATAACAACTGAAATTAGATTCCAATGAATTATACTGAGTGAATTCTGATTTATGTCTGACATATTTGCATCAGACCTTACACCAACAATAGAATTATTACATGTTATGAATGTTTATATTTTCAGGATGGTCGTGTTAGTGGTGTGACATTTAATACCAGGTTATTAGGATGCAGTTATTTGTATCCACAAGTTATTCCAAACCCTCATCAAACATCTACCACACTAACTGATGATGATAAATTGATCATCGTAGCCAATCAAGGTCTGTGGCAGTATATGTCTTATGATGAAGCCATCCATGAGATCAAAGACATCCCTGACCCTGTGGTAGCTGCTAAACGACTACAAGATCTAGCTCAAGGCTATGGTTCAAAAGAAAATATTGCGATCTTGGTAGTAAGATTGTTTTTGAGTGAAGCTGAACGACAGAGAATCAAATCTTTATCAGATAAACAACTGGAAGGACAGAAACATTTACTGTCAATGTTACAACAACATGCTGAGATTGAGAGAGAGAAGGAAAGAATTAAAACGGAATCCACATTTGGACCCATTAAGATTGATAAATCTGGTCATGTGAAACAAGTATCTAAATCTAAGGCTAGACCAGTGGTTAGCTCTGACATCACTAGGACTAAACAAATAAAAGATATGGAGTCTTTGTTACAACACCGTCTTCGAGAAGATGTGAAATATAAGGAGATAGAATATGAATTTGGTAAAAATAATGCCGGAGATCCTGATGCAGATTTATACTTTAATGAAGAAGATATTGTGTTAGTGAGTAAAAATAAAGATATCCCAGTTGAAACTTGGGAGTCCAACCTCCAGAAAAGATTGACAGAGGAAGTAAAAGATCGGGAGTTAGAGTATATGTTCAGCACAGTTGATGATGTTGATGCAGAAGTAGCTCATGACCATAAAGGTAAAAATTGGTCACATTCTCAGAAAAGAAATGCCGCAAAATCAGAGAGTGCCTTAATGGAACGGAAGATGACCATCCCTCAACCGGAAGTTAATGTTCCTTATGAAAGAACAGATTCTTTAGATACCATTGCTTCCTTCGAGGAATTCAGCAAACAGCCAGTAATACAGCAGAATATAGATAGAGATGCTATTCTATTTCACCAGATGCAATTAGCCAGAGCTCAGAGTGCTAGCTCTACTAGTATAGACTCTACACAGTCAGATCCCATGCATGCTTCTGAAAGAGAGAGATTCAGCTTACCCAATAGAAATCCTTCTCACAGCATTGAGGTTCTGGTATCAAGCTCTCGTTCAACCAAACCTAGTACCAAAACACTACCAATGGAACAGCATGAAGAAGAATCAGAAGAGAATGAAATCTTTGCAAAATACGATGAAAATATGGATGAGCTTTACGCTCGTGTAAATAAACAGAGTCCTAGTATGATCACTCATCATGAACAAGATCCTAATACTGTAGATGATGATTTGAAGAATGAAATAGACAATTCAGATATAGACGATTTATATGCTAAAGTTAATAAACCTAAACATTATAATCCTTATATAACAGATATTAATTCCAACTCGATAACTAGCATTGAAAATTTAGCTGTAACTGATGACATAGTTAATCCTGAGCAACACCTTTCAAAGAAGAATTTGCAAAGAAGATATTCGGGATCATCAAACGAAGGTAATTCTGCAAACTCGTCACCCACTATACTACTGAGGAAACAGAAAGAACCAGTAGTAGTGAATGCTTCACCGTCTTCTTCACCAGAAACACCAGCCAGAATGCAGAGATCAGAGAGTGAAAAGAGCATAATGATAACCTATTTATAGATGCATAACAATGATCTAATGGCATTTAAATCGACAAAAATGCTTTTGACTTTGTGAATAAGCAAGGCAGTGGCAGATGACCGTCAAAGTTAAACATAAAATAACCCCCGTGAGCTAGTTATTTACTTTTTGTGTATCCCGAACCCACATTTGATCTGCCTTACTTTAACACGTTATTTTTTATACAGCACATCATAGCGTTACAAAATCTTTATATCTTGTTTTGTTGTGTTTGAATATGAACAGAATCCTAAATGCCATCGATAACTATCATACATCGGTTGTTATTCGGGTTATTGTTGTTATTTTGGTAAACTAATACCAATCTTAATCGATATGCTGCGGAAATTGAATTCATATGGTGAAATAGAAGATTTCTCTATATTAAGCGTTCATTTACATTTTGTATAAATTTAATATTTTGATAAATTTCATGTTTACTGCTATAGAAAATATTTTTATTACATAATTATGCACTCGTTTTTTTTTTTACATAAACAAATTATTCCCAGTCTGGGGTGCATCTTAAGGCAAGCGCAGAACCCTCATTTGTTGATGGAACACACTTGCACCAACAGAACACCATTTCACAGAAGATGGGTGTTTAGAATTACCAATTGTGCCCATAGAGCTCATTCGCCTCTGCAACATTTCTCTCAATGCAGACCAAATGCCACCTGTCGGTCTTCGCATGCAAAGAGAAATAATATGCCAAAATAGGTGCATAAAACTTAACTGAGAGCTTAATACAGTTGGTACAGAAGTCGAAGGCTCTAAATACTCGGTAAAATGATAAACAAATAAACATCATAAGCTATCTATACTGTATACTATCTGAAAGGAATACAAGAGTTTTAAAAAGATGTGCAAATATAAAACCGCTTTAATAACGCCAATTTATTTTATTCGAGCTCAAATTCAATATAGATTTTGTACTTGGACTCAAGAGCCAATAGGGTTTTTTTTTCAATTTATTTATTCAAAACAAATATACAAATGTACAGTATATAGTTTTACACAATTGTAATTTAGTATATAGTTTTGATCTGAATAAAGAGAATAGAATGAAAATTTGTTTTGTACAGGAAAAGATGATAAGATAGAAGGGGGGGTAGAAGAGTAGAGAATAAGATTAGAGGATATAGGGTGTAAAGAGTTTGAGCCTAATTTTGTGTTACAGTATTTATTATTGACCATTTCATATTATGCTTTCTGTATTATCGTTAGTTAGAGCAGCTTCGTTTTCTACAAATTTTTGATTATTTAGTTTTTCTAAGAATTGTGGTAGGTTTGGCTGTCGAGATTTATATTTACAGCAGTGTATACATGTATAGTATTTTGCATATAAAAGAATATACCATTGTAACAATCTTGGCCCGTTTAATAAATATACAAAGTGTTGCTGACAATAATGTTATATTTTGAAGTTTATACATAACAAGTTATTATTATTACTCCCAAAATTTAACTGTTTATCACATTTTCATCTCAATACATAATGAATAAATAAGTTGAATAATAAAACAAATTATAAATAAATGAATAACAAAACATTGCATACTAACAATGGCGACATATATACCATGAAATACGAGGAAAGTTGTAGGCACTTTAGTTTGAATACAAGTATGATAACTATAAATTAATATTAATATCATTTGACTCGATGATTTCTGATGCTTCCGGTTGTGCTATAGGACAATCCGGTGCTGATTCATCTTTGGCAATGGGTGTTTGACCTGTAGCTTTTGATTCTTCAGGAACAGTGTTCAATCTTATAGCAGCTCGTGGTCGCATTGTTTGGCGGGAATTACTATCGTCTGGTTCACTACTGCTTAATTGTGTACATGGTTGTTGACTAGAGTTACTCGGATCACATTCAATAATCTGAAAATCATCACTAAATCCAGACGTGGATTTCAACAAATGTCTTAAAATCATATCTTGTTGTTGAACTATTTTTTCAAGTCTTTCACTTAATTTGTCAACTTTATCAGATTGTTGTTTTGTTTCTGTTTGACGTACAGAAATATGATTTAACATTTCATATCGGAAACTAGATATATCTTGTTTTATTTCATCAAAGTCACCTGAAAAATTTAGAAGGTTTTAAAAAATTGCATCAAATTTCCAGACATATTTGACAACTCTATAATTGTCAGGATAAGTAAGGATGATTCGATTTGTCGGAATCGTAATGTTATCCTAAATAGTGTCAAGGACGTAGCCTTGCGTTCAATTCTGAAGACAAACTCCTATCAGAACCAACGAGCGTCTTCGAACCATTAATTTTCGTTACTTTTGGACTCAAAGGGTTTGTAAAGAGGTTTTCTAAAAATCTTATGTGTATCAATTTGCACCATTGAAATTGTTAGTCAGATGTTTCAACTAAAACTACGAGTTTGATGACGTCACTAATCGCAATAGTGACATCATCAACACTTAGTTTTAGTGGAATTGCCGGAACCACAGATGTCTGGTGCAAATTAATGATATCAAAAATTTAGAAAACCCCTTGACAATCAAATATTGTCCTTTTCGTTTCAAACATAAATCCTGTCCTGTGAGTAAGACTATGTAAGAAATAACCGTAAGCTCATTACAAGGGTAACACTATTGGAAAGAACAAAGAGACTCAATACACAAAACCTACCTTCTGGACCCTCTGCCTCTCTCTGCATATCAAATATATAGCGCTTTACTATCCTCTTCATTACCCTCTGAAAAATAAATAGAAATACCAAATCATGCAATAAGGATATATATTTTTTTACTTAGTCCGACAAAAAATCTGGTTAGTGTTCCCCTCCGCTATTTTATGTCTGGCACTATACGTGTCGATGTCCCATCTGGATATCACATCCGTGGAACGCGTAGGGCTTGATTAGTCGGGCTTCGTCTTATTAAATAAAGAAAACATTCTTGTCACCATTTTTAACTGAGTTTAAATAATTTTTGTATAAAAAACAAAACAAATTTGCTTACCTTGTAAGTCAGTTTATCCGAGTAAAGATTAGGATCTGAATCGTTTCGTACAAAACCATTAGTAGTAGCCATTCTATCTCGAAACTGACGTATTCCTTGGTTCCTACTATTGGTCACACCGTCATCCCAACCAGCAGATGGTGCAGGATCCTATGAGAAATAGTACCATTATAATGCTAGTAATTATAATCAAAACAGCCATCATAAAAAATTGTTCATTAGGTTATAAATACAAAATGGTCCTATTTTTTCAAATTAGAGTATCATTTAAGATCATGTACATTCTCATTAAACAGATGATAGCTAATTTCTATTCTATTCTATTTGATTTCATGGGATCAATTCCAGAAGTATATGTTAACTTACGATAGAGTTTCCAGCAGCAAACATTTCAATATCTTTAATACGACCAGGATGTGTTGATATTGGCGGATCGTCTCGTCGGCAACATAAATTGATAAAAAATCGTAAAAGATAATATAATGATTTAGGTGTTGGGAATATGTTGAATGGTACTGGCAATGTACATTCTCCTTTTATATATTCCATATACATTTTACTTCTGGCAAACTTCCATTCAGTATCCGCCATTTCCTAGATAAGTAAACAAAATTAAATTTTTCTTTTTTTTTTATAGATTCAAGAAATAGTTAAGATATAATATCACTGCTGTCTACAATATTGTATATAGTCAAAATACATAACGTAACATACATAGCATAGCAATAAAACTATGTAAACTTTCAGCGAGAGTGATAACCCTTGCTACTGTTGGTGATAAAGATGCGTCCGTCACTTCAAGTTTACCATTTTGGAATGCCACTCTTTGGCTGAGTTTGTCAATTTGACATCTCTATTGGATTGTCTGTATAGCTAATGATGTTTTGTTTTAGGTAATCTGATGACTTACTTGAATGATTTCAAATGATCTGGTCATCATAGCAATTAACATGTTAAGTAAGACTATCACAATAGCTACATTATAAGCTCCATATAACCAATAACCAACATTCTGTGTAAAGTGGTTGTCGAATTCTCCCAGTTCCACAGCTGTTGGTTCACCGCGTCCCAACATCGACCAAAATACTGTCCGGAATGTTATATCTGGTCTAAAAAAAAGGTTTAAAAAACTTAACATATCCACAGGAGAGACAAGTGCTTTTGATTTTTCTTTACGTCTTTTAAGGTTTTACACTTAAGGTATGAATAAGCGCAATTTTGACAGAATTCTATCATTTTATGGCCATAAAACCCATCTCTTCTTTCCATTGGAAAGCAATGATTGCACTCTTGGTAGTACTGATACTCTTTCATGACACGAGGAAAAAAATATTGTAATTACAAATTCAATTTACATACACAGACGTTAATTAAATGCGAAACATTTATTCTTGCAATCTGCAATTCAAATATTCTGTAATATTGTTTATAATAAATTTTTGCCTTCACAAGATCTTCTGAATTTAACTTATTTTTCTGTTAACATTTCAGTGCTAGTTTGCGGTCTTTTTCCATCTAGTTAATTTGACAGGTCTACTATACCATTATTTTAACCACAAATTAACTGCAGTTAACTTACATTCCAAAATTTTCTTCTGCCACTGTAGTTATGTTATTAGGCAGTAATTCAACATCTTTTCTCACGTTTTTAGGATAATACCAATATAAGTTATGTAAACCAACCATAAAGGCAATAAATAACACCAGAAATACCACAAAGAATTTCATGATATCCTACAAAATAAAAAATAATATGTGTAAGTCCGAAAGTCTTTAGTTGAACAATATTTCAAGTGATGGAAAAATACCTATACTGACTAAATGATAAAATGAAACAATGTGAATGATCAACCAGGGTACATAAGAAAGAGTTAAATCTTTTAAGAAAAGTCTTCTGACATACAAATAAACCCACCAAAACGATTGTTAGCAAATAGTTCCTTCAATTACGACATGATAAGAAAGAAAGCTTGAAATTGGGACGAGCAGTCAATGTATCTCGGACTAATAAAACAACATAATTATTATCAAATATTATTTTATGTGATTTGATATTTAATATAAACCTGTAATGTGGTGTTAATCTGTTTAGGCAATTACACATATAAAGCACGTGAAAATACCACGTACAGCTTCATAATGAGGTTCGTTATCAAATCCAAACTCCCAGAACATGATAGGGTCACTAAAACAGGTAATCTTTTCTTCTTCAGTTATCTAAGAGTATGTTCTGTCGACCATACAATGAACCTGACAGATGGTTCGAGTTAGAACAATCAGAAATAAAGATATAAACTTACGGTAATCATTCTCGCTAATGAGATTTGCATTGGACCAAACAATTCATTGGCTGGTAAAAGATAGGAAACTCTTGTAAAACTGATAACATTCGCTACAGCAAAGGCGGCCTCGGCTACGTTGTATGGATCCCAACTATCCCAGTAGAATCGATCTAAAATATTATAAGGTTAAGTAAAAAGCAAAATGTCTGCAAGTAACTATAAATCAACTATTTACACTAATTAGGCCTAATCATCACGCATTATAAAAACAGAACGGACAGTATATTCAGTAGTATATTTTAATTCAAACATTCAACAGAAACTGGACTATACTGATAAACGGCACGTACAGTGTGTCATAAAACTATTTCGAATCGAACAGAAGAGATACTTTTTCAGCGTGTTTTATTCAGTAACGGTTTGTTAAACACTCGAATGGTGCATAAGCGTACTCTTACCTGCCACGAGCCAATACAGTTGAAATTTAGATGTGAAATTTCCTGCCATTAACTCCTCCCAAGACTCTTCTGATTCAAAATATTTTAAGGCAAACTTCACCTGAAATAAATAATAGTATCTTTAATAATTTATAAAAAGCGGTTGAAAAGTGGTATTTTCGGAAATAAGCAAATAATATATCTGAAATTTCAAATAAGAATGCCACTACTTCAATGAAAAAATTTGATTTCACAAATAGAAAGCTTGAGACAAGAGAAAGCTAACCTTTCCAGTTGAAACAGGCAATAACATATCATAAGTACTCGCTCCTATATTTATATCATTGTACGTGTAAGTGATTCTCGTTGAATACTTTACATGGAAATACGGGGATAGATATTTTTGACTTTATTTTCAAATATATTTATTTTGAAATAAATGAGATCTTACCTTCATTATTGTGACATATCGTAACGTAAAGGACATAATGTAAACTGTTAACACTGCTGTATCAAGATAATTATATAAAGAATCAAAATAATTGAATAATCCACTACCATACATCTGTTTCATTTCTTGCCATAACATACCTGATAATAGAAAATGATATTTTTAGTCAAAATTTGAAATGCATGTGTAGGAAAGGACAAATTTCATACTGTGTACCCTGACCAAATTATCCAATATTATATGAACCATTATTTTTCGAAATTCAAACATTTACGAAGTTCATTGAAAAAGCAGAATTTCAAGGTTTCTATGGGAAGGCCCCCTTGCCCTATTAATTGCCGATGATGAAAAAAGGAACACTAAATTGTCTCTATTCTATCTCACTACGTATCCTATTGGTACCTCAAGTCGTCAAAGAGGTCATTTAAAAATTTAAAAACTATACCAGAACAGAATAATTTTATCAGTGTCTATTTCAGCAAGGTTTAAAAAGTTTCCTTACATTCAAAGTCAGAATGAATTAGGTTTCATGTTCAATAATGTTGGCACGTTAGGTTTTTAGAATACGTGTATTATTTGTCTGTAATATTTAGACATAAATTGAAAAGTAAAGTACTGACGATTGCCAGGAATGTTCTGTACAAGTCTAATATAAATATAACTAATTTTAAACTATCAGTGTTTTATCAATTTTCCAAATAACAGCCTCCGATTGAAGTGTTTATACAGCTTCTTCACCTTGAGTTTTGTACGTTTTTTCTAAAATTAGTTGATTACGTGATAGTGTCAAATTTCAAATAAATTAACATATTTTCATATTTTATATTAGGACTCTATTCTCTTTACACTTGCTACTAGTATGGTAAGGTGAACTATTTTGACATCCCGGGTGTACCGGTATGACACGTCTTCATATCCCACGTTTGACAATAGTTGATCTTCTTAAACCCTTCAATAGGAACTCATCCGACCCAATTTTTAAAGTTCTTCATTGCAGATCTGCAAGTCGGATGGCATTCAAAGTCCTAAAGTAGCTCTTCTTTACAAATCTGTTTCTAATTGAGCCTGAACATTTACGAGTCAAATCCTGAAATCTTACACAATTCATACTAATTATAAACCTTTAACGACATTTAGGGTTATAGACTACATTAAATAACGGAACACAAATTTGGGTATTCTACACAATTTGGAAGGATAAGTATTTGAACTACTGATAGTACTTTGGTGCTGAACGCTGAACACTGTAAGCTAATATGTGGGTTAACTCCCATTATAATAACAAAAACACACTTGAAACTAGCTCTAGATCATTTTCTTAAGTCAACACTTCCACTCAAATTGTTTGATAATTTTTTTTGAGAAAAGAATGATTTTCAAAGAAATACAGGTCATTACGTTACTATTGCTACGCACGCTACGAACCTACATGGGTTCTTCACTATGAAATACATGGATTTAAAACTGAACTATATTTATCAAAGTCGGAGACTAAATTGCTAAAAACAGATCTTAATTATTAGTTCCACGAGAAACAAATGACACGAAATCAGAAATGAATTTCAAATGAAGATTTCGCTTGATAATAAATTCAAACGTCTGAATCTGATACACATGCTTAAAAATCGATTCCTTCTTAACTAAATTTCTTGAATCTCGTGCAGAAATAAAAAAAAAAGTTGATAATAAACTTGGCTGTAAAATAGATTTATATATCACAGTCAAAAAACTTCATTGGAATCGAAATAATTTGTCTGGAAATTGCCTAAATTTGAATTTCACTTTTTTTAAGTTCATGGTTTCTGTAGATGGTAACTTTTATATCAGAAATTCAACTGAATTGCAGTTCACGGGTTTCACCTGATTTCTGACTTTGAGAATTTGAGTTAAAGATGATTTTATTTTATTTACATTATGGCTGCCGTGGACATATCTAGGGGTGGAACTGTTGCATGTTATTACCACCAAATTTGTCACAAAATCTGCATTTCGATTGTTTTTTCATTTAATATGAAGGAAAAAATGATTATAACAATGGTGTAAAGAGACATTACAATGAGCTACCCCTTACACCGAATCTAAGTAAACTTACAATATTGTGTCTTTTTGTTGTTCGTCTTTAATCTAAAATGAAACCTGCTCCTCCAAACCACCCATCTATTACAACTTCCTCGAGATGAGGAAATATGATAGACTCTAACTGTTCACGAATTAGACGAGTTCAGGAGTTGTTATCAGAAGTGACAGTTGACTTAAGAAACTGTCACGTGAACTGTCGTACTGGTGTATCAAAAGGAACATTGGTATCATACAAAGTATTCAATAGCTGTATTCTTACCTATGATCCAAACAGACATTACTAAATGAATTAATTCTGGTTCATAAGTTCTTAGCACAAAATCTTCCGGCCACCCTCCTGTAGTTTTGTTTCTGAAGACGGAATAATGTTTAAACACTGTTGTAAAGGCAGACATATTTCGGTGTAACGACGGTCTTTCTGTTGCCGTCGATATAAAAATCATAACAAGAAAAGTAATGAAAGACATCGTTTGTCCTATAAACTTGACACATGGATAACGTAAGAACTTTCCTGCCTGGAAAAAAGAAAGAAATTATTTCTTTGTCTTGAAGCAAAGCAACATCGGGAAACATGATTCAGAATGGGGGGCATCATTTTACTGGCTAAGTCAATACGTTTTTTGTAGGTAGAAATAAGCTTCTTTTTCCAATGACCACGGCAGCATCACATCAATAAGATGACTGTTACGTTAGCTATACCCAAAATTGCATCACATATCGCATACTTTTTAGATTTGATAGGACCCTGAACATAATTGACCCGTCTCTGTTGCTTACCTGCGTAGTAGGCACAATCCAATACATCACTGCAAATATAGGATAGAAAATGGTGATCATAAAAACTATTAAAGAACGATAAAACCAATTAGATCTTTCTAAGGCTCGTAAATCACCATACCAAATACTGACTAATCTTTGTTGACAACTCGGATGAGCAACAAACTACAATAGAATCAAAAATAAAATCATTCAACAAATTAAGGCAGTAATATTTTTCCTATATCAACTATGGAGAATCTATTACACAATAGTTGTGGAATCTGTTAATTTCAGTACAAGCTGCTTCAACAATACAAGAGAACTACTTGGGCAAAATTTGTTAAGAGAGTTAAAACCCTTCACCATTGAGCCTAAGTTTTACTTTCATATCTACAATTTTACATTTTGCGTTTCATTCGAAGATGAATATGAGACAGAAAACGCATCTGTTTCATTGCTCGTAATGTCATATACATGTATCCTTACAAAGACAAGCTTGTTTCGATATTTCAAAACGTGAATATTAATTAACCCTTGGTTCCAGGAAGTGATTTCAGAAGGGTTGTGTCAAGACTTTATATACGCTTAAGTTTCACATGTGTTATTGATATGCGGCCAACATTCGTGGTGTTGCGTACAGAACTGTGCAATGCAAAAACTTTTCGAATCTTCCGTCTACCCGAGAAAACATCGCATTTAAGGGAATTCTATGCAAGTGTAAAACAAAATAATCTAAAAAATATAACTGGGTTTGACGTAAGCAATGCTAAATGTTGATGAAAAACATACCTTCTTCTCATTATATTTAATGGCTAGATTTAATCTTGCTAAGGCTTCATAGGTTTCCTCCTCACTATTGGTACCCGTTTTATTTAAAATTAACTCTAATTCTTCATGACCTCTAACTTTATCCAGTAATTTCACTACATATTCACTCAATTGGGCCGCTAATTCTAAATATTCATTCTACAAAAAAGATACAAAATCAACATATACTATTTAGTTTTAATATAACCGTTGGTTCTAGATAGTGTTCATTAGTCAAGCTATCTAGGTCCTTACAATTTGTTTAGTGCCTAAAATTGGTGTGCATGAATGTCTATGCAAAATCTATAATAGATTAACATAGGGTGTCGGTTGAGGTATACACTGAAACCTACCTATATTAAGTTTTTCATAAAAGAATTTCGCCCCAATAAAATTGTTGGAGATTTCTTACCACTATTAAATACATCATTTCTCACTTTCACTAATGATACAGAGGGTCCAAGTTATGCCTTTTTGGACTAATGGCAAAAGGTCAGTGGTATTAGCCTACACTTTTCGATACAAAACCTGCATGCAACAATCGAAGCCTGGATCCATGCGTAAACAGTCACATTTTATTGGTCTTGATTATGCCCCAGACAATTGCAAAACAAACAAAACTATAAAATTACTTATTTTCGTTAATGAAAAAGTAATTTGTGAAATACAAGATTTATTTTTGGAAATGTCTGTCTGCTAATGTAATTTGACTAAGATTTAACAAAGAATTAATTGATCCAAGTGTGGAACAAAATGAAAACAAGTTCAAGAGGTCAATCTTGTTTATAACAAGAACAACAATCTTGTGTAGACAACATGATTCAATATTCAGTGTCGAAAGAGAACTTAAGTAGAAATCAAGAATATCAATTCAACAAAACGAAAGGACATGAAGGACTCGTGTCAGCGAGTAATATCTTATTTAAAGGGGCCTTCATACCATAACGATCACCATGAATGGTTACCAATAAAAAAATGTTACCAGAAGCAACTCAACCATGCAACCAAAAGCTTTTATAGGTAGGTATCTCAATCCCATTAGTTGCATGTAATCACTATTTTTTGCATTTGCAACCGGTGATAGTTGTGACAAAACTGTTGGTTGCGTTTGGTGCATATATAAATACATTTTTCACGCTACTGAAATAGGCTATGGTGTGAGGGCCACTTAAGGACAAGAATCTATGGCATCAATTAGGTTCAAAAGGGAATCATTCGATAAATATAAATAAAGGTATTAATGAAACTGTCCAGTGCACCAATGCGGGACTGAAGAAATCAGTCCAAGGCAACAGCATCTTTGGCGGTGTAATTTTTCAAATATATAAAATATCGAAAGCATCACTTTATGTATAAAAGAACCCAATAAAGTCAAGAGGAACAGTAGAGAGTAAACATGTGGACATAAGCATGAGCATGACTCAGGTGTAAACACGAGGATACCAATGAAAGGCAATGGCATCCAGTATTTAGGGGAACGCCATTGGGCCATGACCCTCCCCTCAGTACTGAAAGAAACCATTTTGAAGTGAAAATCAAGCCCTTTAGATGCTCAAAATTCATCTCAGGGCATTTTAATTCTGTTGGCATCTGCCTGGTCTCAGGGGGCTTTGGTCCCTTCTTATATTTGGCCTACCCCTCAGGCTCTTTCTAGATACGCCCCCGAGGGCGTGTAAGTCAGGAGCACAAGTCGAGTGTAATTAAGAGGATATCAGGAGGAGTATCAATCAGATGTCAACATGAGGATATCAGTATAAGTCAGGAGCATCAGTCGAGTGTAAACAAGAGGATATCAGTTGGAGCATCCATTAGATGTCAACACATTGATATCGGTGTAAGTCAGAAGCAACAGTCGAGTGTAAAATGAATTCTTCCAGAACAAGTTCAGAGCTTAAACCCAAAATGAACAAGATGTAGCTCCTCTTCGGTGTCTGCAATGAAATGCAGAGCACTAAACGAGATGCAAAAAAAGTTCGTCACTGAACATATGTTCACCAAGTTAAAATAGTTTGCTAATAGGCCTTTAAAATGAATCATTCAAAACATATTTCTTTCATCTGAACAATATCACGATTCTATCTTAGATAATATATTTTCAACAGGAAAGCAAAAAAATCGAATAAGCAATGTTAAGTGTGAAATAGCACATGAGGTCATGAATGGAATGTTAATCATTTCTTACCTTATAATATTTCTCGACCACCGCTACTCTCCGTAATTCCCTTGCTAAATCAAAAGCTGTTAAAATGGGATCTTTGCTGGATAACGAGATATAAGCACCACTAGCTAATCCTTTATATGCATTGAGGCGTGTTTTAGCCAGTCGTAGCTGGTCAAACTGCAATTTATTGGAACATTCCTGACAGTGACAATAATAATGATGGGGTTTTGGTATCTTTTCACCCCGTAATAACAATAACTGAACAATTTCAAACTGATTTCTTTCTGCTGCTAATATCAATGGCGTAATATCCGAGGAAAATGGCGAATCTTCACTGTTTGTATTATAGAAATAGTCCGTTTCACCGAATCTCTTATTTTCCTTCTTGATTTCTCGGTATTTCGGATGTTTAAGAATTGTCTCTGCAATTTGTTCATGACCAGCACTGATGGCTTGAAGCAGGGCTTCGTGGATACTAGACACATTGCATCGGTCTAATAATAACTCACATACCTGCAATTACAAAAGAAATAAGTTCAAATACAAAGTACAATATATGTAAATTGATATGAAACCATATCATATTTACTAGTAAAATCCTTTGAATATAAAAGATATCGAAATAAAATGGACCAACACTATTACGGATACAAAATCAATCGACAGAAGATATCTGAAAACAATAAATTTAAGTAATCTATAGTTGAATGTAAACAACACTGTACCTGTTCCCAAATCATGAACCCCATTATCATATAGGCATGTACGGACTTTTTGGGACGCTGGTATTTGATTCTTATAGAAACATGTTGTCATAAACATGTATTAGCGAGTAATAGATAAACAAATAGTATAACAACAAGTGGTATAAAAAGACAATTCGCCTTCAGATCTTTTAGTCATTTTGTGAATAGATATCAGCGCGATCAATCTTTTTTGAAACTTTCTGCAATATACACTTTCATATCCGAATTCATATATACAATACAATATGAATGTTGTTTATTTGTAGTCCTCGATCTATTTTGGTTACTATCGTGACGGTCAGATAGCCTTTGAGGCAGTAAACATACACCAACGTCAAAAACACTTTGCGAAGTTAAGTTAATGAACATTGTTCAAATTTCAGATAAACATCAGACATGTTTTCACTTTCCATACAAAAAGGTGATATAGTTGTTTAATTAGACGAAACTATTGTTACTTAATTACAAATAAATGATACAATATTTTAATTAGCCGAAGACAATACTTGGTTGTTCACCGACTGTAAAATAACAAGTATAAAGCTCAAATGTGTAATATCTATGGTATTTTGTTATCCGACTTTATCATGTTGTATAATTTATTCTCTGACGTGAATAAACGTATTTGTGATTACCACTTTCATCAACAGTGAAATAGGTAACTTACTTCACTAGAACTCATTCCATAAATATATATTAATTTTTTAAGAAAGTATCAGATCATCAGATCACATCAGAATACTAAGTGATTTTTAGCAACACTGGTAATCATCATGCCACAAATTTCATGAGCAGTATTTAGAAAATACTAAGCAATGTTAGATCATGGTACGACAGAGGAATACAAAGCACATAGCCGTCATTGGCAATTATCAAACGCTTCAATACAGAGCTTTTAAACGACATAATTGATAATATATAACTATAATAATTCGTTGATTACATAGACCACCGTGGTGTTTTAATACTGTCTGATTCGATGTTATAACGCTCTTAAATGTTTGTCAAGTATAGAATCACCCAAAGGGGGAATAATTTACCAAGATTGTCACACGAATTGTTATATATGCGTATTTCTCATTTACCCTAAAGGGTTACAAGAGAATAAAACATTATTATATTAGTATTATCATGCTGTTTTATGGTGGCTATGTTTACTATATTATTACCTCACTATATTTACTTCATAGTATTACTAACATGTAACAAAAACGTCCCAAAGTAAGTTCTGATTTATGGAAACTTCTGATAGTATTTTGTTAATATTGTCTGAGAAAGGTCTATCATGACACGAAAGCATGTCCAGCAAAAAATAAAACAAACAATGATGACATTTTAAATATGTAAATAATATAGCCTTCATCACATACCACTTACTTTCTTTTATTAAGAGGAAATATTTGTCTATGTTTTCAATAACTGTTCAATTTAGAAAAGTTACAGTGTACAAAGTTCAGTGTCAATCTAAGTCATATTTTACCTACGATCAATAATATGTTACATTTTCATTATTTACCTTCACATGACATTGATTCCAAATCAATATGATTTATGTGTCTTTCATGTCATTTGATTGAAAACGAGAAATTAATTAGCCACGACGATATTGTATACAGTAGTTATATGTTCCTCCGGCTAAACAGAATGTACTTCTACTTGTCAATACAAACCACACAGCACAATAGTCGTGCGTTAGAACAAAGGATAAAAACTTAAAAAGCTCACCTCCAAATGTTCATTACCAACTGCTAACCTTAACGGTGTTCGACCTAATATATCACTGTAGTCTACACTAAACCCTAAATTATCTTCTAAAATTCGTTGCACAGTTGGGATATCACCAAATTCAGCCGCGTAAATAAAATCTTCTTCTAATGTTGACAGCTGAAATGAAATGTTGAATACAATATGCGTTTTAAGGTAACTGAAATTGTACTTGACAGGAGTTAAGACCACCGAGGTGAACAAATTATAACTGGGCTTCCCCTATATCTTGAACTGAAATGGTATTTTGAAGTATCTAACATTTTGTAGACAGACCTATTAAATATCACAAACCAAATGCCCAATCACATAATATAGTAATGTCATTAGCAGTTATGGATGAGTATGAAGTTTCATTTGCAATTGTGAAATCTTTCATTCGTCACACAATAGATCACAAACCAGCATCTTTCCGCGAGTATGTTCCAGTAAATGTGTCATGAATGTTGTTAGACCTTAATATCTGTTTGACAGATGTCAGCTGGTGTAGAGACAGGAAAATTAGGCCTCTAAAATGGGGAGATTCTGCAGTTGCAAGGTTTTTACACCAAATTGGATACCTCGGATTCATTATACCTTTGGAAAGATGGATGTTTTTGTAGTTCATTCATACCATCATTATCTCCCCACATCATATATGCCACGTCTGCAGATCCATCAAAGATTTTTTGTCTGCCACGAAAGATTTATTGTCTGCCACGAAAGATTTTCTGCGCAACCAGAAATTAAAGGTCAACGGGTCAAGCTAACAAAAGAAAAATAGCGGTGATGCGCAACACTAATTCACCGTGAAATGGGCTGTGGATATAATAGATTATTTACGTTCATTATTAAATGCTTTAAACTTCTTACAGACACGGTAAGTTACTGGCATAAATGATGTAGGGGGATAACGATGGTATGTTTGAACTACAAAATTTTCCATCTTTCCGATTATATCGAGGTTTTGCGGATCCGTGATATCCAAATAGGATTAAATTCCCCGCATCCTGCAGAGGGCCTATTTTTTCTACCTCGATACCAGCTGACATCTGTCCAAATGGAATAGAGATAGTTGTTTCGGTCAAGAATGTTGTGAACATGGCATTGCATTGTGCATGCAATTATGTCGTGACAAATCTCAAGCAATTGTCATGATTGCATCCAAACCTGTTCAGCACCAAATTAAATGTTCAAAAAATAGACTCTTTCTTAACGAAAACATTTTGATCCATCTGAATTGATCTTATACGGAATTGTTAGTCTTCTTTCTTTTGCAAAGAAATTGAGGTGAAGATCAATTGGTCATTTGAGAATACTTGATACCATCTTAATGCGATAGCAGTAATAAAATAAGAATTGAACACATACCGACTTTCCTGATTTATTATCACCGAGGTTGAATCTTGAAGCTGTACGCTTATCTCTGGTTGATCTAGGAGGCATGGTACCATCACCACCTGGTTCATTATGTCGAACTGAAATAGATCACAATAATACATTACTGGATAGCAGACAATTTGATAAACAAAAGAGTTGTACGGTTTCATAGTTATAATCATATCCATACATCGCAAATTATTTCACGACAATATCCGTTATACATATACACGTATCGTGATCTACAGATTGAGAATTCTGATTGATATAATATAGATATCCATTTATTCATTAGATCATAACTATAAAAGAAAACAGATTTATATCCCAAATGTTAATAAAACTAAAAGCTATAATAGAACAGTATTAAATGTGTTTATTTTATTAGTGTGCCAGTGTCTCGTTAACATATACAAACTATATACGGCTTATCTTTTTTTTAAGTTATTCACTATTAAAAAACATATAAGTCATATTTGCAAGTTTAACACCGATATCTAGCTTTCTTCTATCAGAGAACAACAATTAAACTTTTACAGCTTCTCTAATTGTCAATTTCATCACTTTGACAAGGATCAGTATTTCCATAAATTTGCATGTCATGTCCAGGAGACAGCGTGTTAATTAATAACCTACAGGCGCTTTCATTTTTTACTTTTCACTTACTAATTGATATGATTGTATAGTTAAACTATTCCGTAAAGTCTATATGAATAAATGATAAGAATACCAATTACTGATTATACACCTAATATGTACATGTACATCAAAAAATATACCTAGAGTAGTTCTCGCATTATACACTTTTCTATGGGCGCTAGGAACCCGGAGAATTTCAGTAAACATTTCACAGCACTGATGAGTTACAGAAAACTAGTTCTAATGAGAAGGAAGCGACTGTCGTGACTAACATACTTTTATAATAAGAAGATTTTACGCCAATTTTCTATCTGATTACGTTAAACAGATTTTCTCCGCGACCAGAAATGACATGTTAAGGCTTTATGTTTTTCCATTATTTATTTCATTTTTTTCCATAAATGTTAATAAATAATTGACAATCTATATGTACACTTAATATCTAAATAGGATTGGATATATTGCTACAATGACACCGTTTCGTAGGATATCTGAATTGTAATCAATATGGTCAATTCCAATGAGCCCGGAAGTAAGTCACACGTATAATAAGAGAGGAGGAATAAAAGAGTTATAGATTCTCTGAATTATAGGTTCTATGAGAATACATTAATAAAAGAATACTCTTTGTGTTAAGAATAATAACATGAATTTAAACAAGGTTGACAAAACCCAAAAGAACCGTTATTTCTTATGTACATAGGATCTCTTTGTCAAATTACAATTACACAATTAACTCATTATGAATCATGTAATTAATCTTAATCTGGGTGCAGTTTTTGGTGCAGCTAATGGAACACTTGGTTCTACATATATTTTAATCACCAAGATGAAATAGATGTTAACTTTAGCCTCAAGTATTATATGGTTCTCGACAGAATGATGGAGTATTTAATTTAAACCAATTTCCATTAGATGCCTTCAACCAACGTAACATACTATCGTGTTTTCGGAACAAGATATCCTTAACAATAAAAGCTAGTCTTCAAAATTAACATATATACCAAAATGAAAAATCGAAATAAGATGCATAAAAAATACCAGAAGGATATGACCAATAAAAGCAATAATAGATGTCAACTGCCAAAATTGGCCTTAAAAGTTCACATGAACGATGACTAATTTTTTGAAGCAATCGTTAAATTGCTTTATTTGAGGGTATGACTAAGAGGGCAATCAGACAATAAAAATGTATGTACGCCAGAAGAAAAGAAAGGAGTCAGGTGAAGTGGGTCGGAAATCAAATAAATAGAACGAAACTTATTGATAAAATGACTGAATATTAAAATTAGCTAGTGTGAACCGGATCTTATGATGTTTGTTTGAATGATTTCCTGGTAGAACATGATGACAAATGGCTTATATTATATTAACCGATTTAATAATATTCACTAGTAATATATACTAGTTATAAGAACAATATCAAGCTTTAAAATAAACCAATGGTTACTATAGAGATTTCATATTAAAATCAATAAACTATAATAATGTAGGTATTATCACTTCGTCCATCAGTAGAACCATTAAATGTGATTCAAAATCAAATGGTTGCTATAGTAACAGTATTATCCGATGGGCAATATGTCACAAATTAATGTTGTCCATGGGCATTCATTAAACATTAAACTAAATCTACTAAACATTAAAAAAATCGCCAATGTTTCTAATGGAATATACAGATAGATCTATGTGTGGACTATCTAAAGGTGATAACTAGTTGACAAATTCAGCCGTAGAGCAGCATCCTTTGTTCATGTTTGTCATCGTGTGTACGCTTCTTTCTCTTTCTCCTCAAATTTGAAGACTAAAAATCTATAAGGATCCTTGCAAACAATACCTACTACATCACTTCTAATTCAGACAATTCTGAGAGCTTTTGCCAATCATAAATATGAACAAATTTGACTTAATTAAACAATCAGGTGTAATACTGATTATAGAACACTAACAATTTTTAATTCTGACCACCAAGGGGAATCTTGAAGGAAAATCAATTACAAGAAGTATAAACAGTTCTTCTAGCGCTATGACACCTGCATATCTTTCGACTTCATAAAAAATATCCTCCCGTTGACAATGGCAATTGAAAATATAAATTAAACCTGGGATTTTAAAACTATAGAATCTACTTGATTAAATCGTTTTCTGTATATTACCATGTATTGCAATAAAATGAATTGAATTGAAATTGTGTTTAATTTCCCTTTCAAGTGAGTTCAACAGACAAGAGTTCTCTTGAAGTTATTATCAGACAACATACGGATAACATGACAACATTCAGACGTAATTTTTGTCATTTTCAAAATATCAAGTTTTCCATTAATATCACTGAACTCTTTGCAGACAGAACATTATGGCATTGAGAGGTTGATACTATAAAGAGATATGTCATAGCCATATTTACGTAATCAAATACGTGGAGCGTTACCATAAATGCACACACCTCCACCGTGAGGAAAACGTTATGAACGTAATTGCCGTTGATGCCGGGCCATAATTTTAAACTGTCGGTGGGGGGATAGGCAAACGTAATTGCCGTTGATGCCGGGCCATAATTTTAAACTGTCGGTAGGCACTGTGTGGAGAAACGTAATAGACCGAGTAAAACTGGGTAAACGCTACAAAACGTGACAATACGTAAAAGGTCGTTACAAAACTTGGTAGTGGGGCGGAAATCGTATCTTTTCCCCGGCATCTGAAGTTCCTTTCCAGTTTTGTCACGTTGTGTTCCGTTTTGTCACGGTTTCGCGGCAGAACTCAACGTACCGTAATGCTTCGGCCTGCAAAACATCGGGACACACCTTTATTGAAACATAGCGAAACGACCCTAGCTTGCCGTGAAAATCGCGACAAAACGGAGCACAACGTGACAAAACAAAACCTATATTTGGAGACAAATTGCGATTACAATACAATTCCATATTTGGCTTGTAATGAGATGTTTTCAGATTTTAAAAAAACTACTTGCACAGAAAGAGCAGATTTTTCATTTATTCTGATATATATCTTTATTGAAAAACTACATCTCCCATACAGATATTGCACTAACCTAAACTTAAAATAAAATTTGAATCGGATAGATGTATACATTACAAGAATGGTTCATTTACAGTGTGTGTCAATCACATCTT